TTTTTATTCCAATGTATCTAATTATCAAACTGTTTTATAACTTGTTTTATTATGTTTATTATGTTCTATTAAAGCTTTCTTTCATTTTACTGTGTGAAAGACAGATATCATTATACTCAACTTGAGGCACTCTTTAAAGCCATCAGAGCTGCTCTCAGACGCAGTGTAGGCGGATCTGACCTCAGCTGTCAGTCAGACCAAAGTGCGTCACCAGTTTTGTAGTTTGTCAATCGTGTTCAGGACACGGTTAGGACAAAGATACAAGAATAAAATCAGCTTCAGCAGAAGTAAGAGCTGAGATAACTACAAGTGGGAGCAGCTGTCATCAGCTGTCTCGTGAGCAAAGAAAGCATTTTTCCATTTTGTTCAATCTTTAGGTTACGTCTGGAGGAAAGATCTAAAGTCTCATTTGCATTTCTAGACTAAACAGCAGTTTTGTCTGCTTATACAAATTTCTTCAAGTCAGAGAATGGTGCATATAATTTAATTTTTGCTTGATAATTAAAATTAAAAGATTAAAACTGATAAAACAAGTTTTAAAAAAAGGAGACTTTTCCATTTGATTACATTTTGTATGATGGATTGTGCAGAAAAAGTAGAACTGGGCTGAAAGATCTATCGCTTTATCACCTATTCAGGTTGTAAATCGTGTTTTTAAAAAGTAACTAAGTAACTAATTACTTTTGAAAATAAGTAATCAGTAAAGTAACGGGATTACTTTTTGGGGGAAGTAATCAGTAATTAGTTACTGATTACTTTTTTCAAGTAACTTGACCAACACTGCTGATTAGTACTGTATGTGCCACAGTGGTTGTGAAACACTGCTGTAAATGGTATTTATTAAAGTGAAAGGCAACAATATGACTCAGAGCCAGCTGTTACACCTGAACTGTGCTGAAAGTTTCTTCCTGTGAAAAGGGAGCCTTTCCTTCCCACTGTCACCAAGTGCTCATTGTGGAGTTCTTCTCTGTATCATTGAAGGGTTTACCTTACAATATAAAGCACCTTAAGGTGACTGTTGTTGTGATGTGATACTTAAGTTCGAAATGTAAAAATAACAACAAAAACCAACACAAAACTATATACATACATTAATTAAAACTGAATTTAACTATTTATACATTTAACTATTTCTCTTTCTTCATTTCTGTTTCTTTCTTTTTTATCACTGATGACAACTGTCCAAATGTTACAGCATTTATTTACAGCACCCTGGAGTTACCATAAAAATGTTTGCTGCCTTAAAAATGTGTTGATCTGGCCACACACCAGGCAGGAAACATAACATGATTTTGTGTTTGCAGGTTGTCAACATTTATATTGTAAGAAAGGTCACACTTCTTGTATCCTCAGCCATAAAGCCGGATTCTACAAAAAAGGCTTTTGTGATGCAATTTGGCAGTTAAGGTAAGTTCCTCTCTGCAGGAAGGAGGTTTTGGGACCATGTAGTCTAAATCGAAGCTACAAAATAAGCCTAATTTACATTCAAATGTGGACATCAAAGCACTGCTGAGCACTATAGCTCTGTATATTCACAGCAGAGGATGATACTGGCTTTGCGCACGGGGAGGAAAAGGGCCTCCATTTACTGCTGTTTGCTTTGGCTTTTAAAGCAGCCGACGATCAGCCGTTCCAGGAAAGAAACACATCAAGCACCATAACAGATCTGGCAGAGTTGCGCTTTTAATAGACTTTATGACCGTGATTTATCCCGCTGTGTCCTGTGCAATCAACATCACACCTGAACACCCATTACTCTGACTGAATGACAAGATGATAGAGTAATATCACAGGTGTGTTTCTTTTTCTGGCCATAAAGCCCCAGACATCACCGTGCCCTGACAAACACAGCACAGAAGGAAATGTTATGTATTTGCCATCCATAGATGATTATTTCGGTCTTTGTTTCCCTCCTGCATCTAGAATTGCAAACTGATGACTTGCACTGTTTGTAGACTCCAGTAATGAGGCTGTTTGTGTCTTTGTAGTAGGAAAGAAAACAGAAGCAGAGGTTCTTTTCAGGTTGCATAAACCCAAGCGGCAAGATGGAATGAAGGCTAATTCTGTTGGTTATTTTTATGACACTGAGACCATTAACCGAGTGGCATCTCCTGGTGGGAGTCTATTGCTGTCATACACAATATGATTCCAATGTTTAAAACCCAACTAGGAGCAGACGGCAAAGGGCCAACAGACTTCATCCCGAGTATGATTACGATGTTAAAGGTGGTTAAGTTCAAAATGTAAAAATATATCATCCCAGAACAAAAACCAACACAAAACTACTGTGTTCTTTAGAAACAGCTTTATTAAAAGAAAGTATCTTTTCTCTCTAGGTTGAGTTGGAAATAAAGACTTTACATGTCAACTGTTCTTTCTGTTGAAAGTCACCATCAAATCCACACCAAGTATGGCTGTCAATCACTGTCACAGTTTTGGGGCATAAAAGGTGAAACAAAGTAAAATGTAAAACTTTTACTAAACAGAGACTCAAACAGACACCAGCCGTCCTGCCTTAGGACAGTAATTTTATTGAATTAGCTGAAATGCAAAATATGTCACTGCTGAGTTCTGCAAGTCAGAAGAAAAAGAAAACAGACTCCATGCTATAGGTTTGACACTAAACAGATGCCAAACACCAGGGGTGAGCGTAAGCAACCCTCGTGCAGCACATGCTCCATTAGTCACAGTCTGTTCAAAAAGAAAAAACTGGAATGTGTATCGTCACCGATGTGCCTGAACTACAGGCAGATACCACCAAAAACAAAGAATGAGATGCTGTTTTGTGCTGCTTTCTCTCCAAGCTGCCACGAGTGAGTAGGGACAGTTGATCATAAATATCTCTTGAAAAATTAGGCTGAAGCAACAATCATTTTTCTATTACACAAGAATCTTGCCAAAGGCATGGCTTTCTCCAAGGTCTTTATGTCACGCTGCTATTGGTTTTTTGTTTGTTTGTTTTTTGTCAGAATTGTCACCCCCAATACCATGTAAGTGATAACACAGCCTCATTAGTTTAAAAAAAATAAATCACAAATGTGACCACAGCACACAGGAATGTCCTGCAAATTCATAAAAACACCATTTAACACCAGTCAGTGTGGGTGGTATATAACAGCAGAGCAATGTTTAATGGGCAGCAACAAGCTAATGCTGATTCCCATTAGATAACTAATACCCCCAGTAACGAAAGATTAAAATGTTTTCACCGCTGAGTCGATGTATCCATAGATTTTGTGGTAAATTCTCAATTTGCTTGTTTGTCTAAAAGTATGGTATTTATATGTTGTTGTTGTTTTTTTAAAGGGCTGTCTCTCAAGCCTGGGCTATTTGACTTTTTTGAATGGGTTCATGCGAATATCGCTACAATAGTGCACTAATTACTCGGATGGCAAAATTAAAAAGAAAAAAGAAAAATTGTGTGAAACTCTTCACACTCTATCATATGGAAGCTCGTTTCCGCCACTAAAAAAAAAAAAAAAGGATTCATAACTCAAAATTTCGAGTTATTTTCTCGAAATTTCGAGTTATTTTCTCGAAATTT